GGCCAGGGAATTCTAGGTCAGGGCAATAGTCATTCACAGCAGGCAGAATTATAAAGTAGGGATTAGGACCGTCTCCCAGTCGGACCCATAGCTCCTGGAGGGCAGGATCAGGGTTTGGGGCCAGTTTCTCCAGGGCACCGGGTAGCCTGTGAAACACGGGTGAGTGAGTGGATTGGCCACAGCTTGGCTGCTGCTCCAGGCAGGGGCTCCGCTCTCCAGCGTGAGGACCCTACTTCTGTTCACTTCACTCCCATCAGCAAACTGGATGGCTGAGAGGTGTTCCAGACCTTTTGCGTCCCCTTAAACCATGACCAGTAAGCAAGTCCTACTAACTCCATGGTTCAAAGGCCCTCAGATCCACTATCTCATCTAACAAAGGGTTACAAGGAAGAGTCTGGACTTGGCCCATGTCCCAGATCTACCATGATCCCACCAGATTGTAACTCACACTCTTCCCAACTATTGCGTGCCTCCACCCTCCCAAAGCCCTCCCCTGGACTCCTTTCCTGGCCTCCAAAGACAACCGCACCCCACTTTCCAGCAAACCTGGGCCTTCCTGAGGATTCACCTGCCAGGCGATTCTTTGTCCCTTGTCTTATCTCCCCTCGAGAATGCTCGGACTCTCCCACTTGTATCACTGGGCCCTGCTCAGGTACCTGGTCCATGTGTGTTGAAGAAATGAGTGTAGAGGTTTGGGGCTAACCTAAGTGGACCTCTTGCGCCATTTTTTTGTTTGTTTGTTTGTTTGGAGACAGGTTCTCGCTCTGACGTCCAGGCTGGAGAGCAGCGGAGTGTTCTTGGCTCAACCTCTACCTCCTAGGTTCAAGAGCTTCTGCCTCAGCCTCCCCAGTAGCTGGGACTACAGGCGCCCTCCACCACACCTGGCTAATTTTTGTATTTTTAGTAGAGATGGGGTTTCATCATGTTGGCCAGGCTGGTCTCGAACTCCTGTCCTCAAATGATCTACCCACCTCGGCCTCCCAGTGCTGTGATTACAGGCATGAGCCACAGCACCTGGACTCTCCTGTGCCATTCTTAACCCGAAGGCCACTGCCCAGGGTGAGAACACAGCCGCAGCTGAGATGGACTTCACTGCCTCCTCAGGAAAGTACTTATGTTTATACCAAAAATCCAGACTGGAAAAGACACCGTTTCTTGAATTCTAGTCAACTCCGTGATGAAGTGATCACAATGGGACTAGGAGAGCCCATGTCTCTCTCAGCTGCTCTCCCACCACCTCTACCATTTCAGAAGGGCCAGCATGGGGCCTTCTATGCCACTATTTGGCAAATGTGGACAAGTCACTTATACACTCTGGTTGCTGCCTCAGCTGGGCAAGTCCCACTGTGCTGCCAACTCCCTGGCTGACAGGTGAGAACAAAGCGTGCTCACAGGGCTGCACGCAGCAAAGAACCCCATCTCCTCCTGCTTCCCCAGCCTATTTAAATTGGTTTTTTGTTGTTGCTTGTTTGTTTGTGACAGAGTCTTGCTCTGTTACCCAGGCTGGAGTGCAGTGGCGCAATCTCAACTCACTGCAACCTCCGCCTCCTGGGTTCATGCAATACTCATGCCTCAGCCTCCTGAGTAGCTAGGACTACAGGTGCACACCCCCATACCCAGCTAATTTTTGTATTTTTAGTAGAGATGGGGTTTCACTATGCTGGCCAGGCTGGTTTTGAACTTCTGACCTCCAGTGATCCACCCGTGGCCTTGGCCTCCCAAAGTGCTGGGATTACAGGTGTGAGCCACTGTGCCCGGCGTTTTTTGTTGTTGTTGTTGTTGTTGTTTTTGAGATGGAGTCTCACTCTGGAGTGCAGTAGTTCAATCTCCACTCACTGAGCCTCCACCTCCTGGGTTCAAGCGATTCTCCTGCCTCAGCCTTCCAAGCAGCTGGAATTAAAGGCAGAGGCCACCACTTCCAGCTAATTTTTGTTTTTTCAGTTTTTGTTTTTGAGAGAGTTTCGCTCTCATTGCCCAGGCTGAAGTGCAGTGGCCCTATCTCAGCTTACCACAACCTCTGCTCTGGGGTTCAAGTGATTCTCCTGCCTCAGCCTCCCAAGTAGCTGGGATTACAGGCATGCGCCACCATGCCCGACTAATTTTGTATTTTTGGTAGAGACAGGGTTTCACCATGTTCGTCAGGCTGGTCTCGAATTGATCTCAGGTGATCCGCCTACCTGGGCCTCCCAAAGTGTTGGGATTACAGGCATGAGCCACAGCACACAGGCTTCATGTTGCTCAGAACTGTGACAACAGAGCTCACTTTCTTTCTGAAGTAATAAAGGTTGAAATTCTCCCTAAACCCTCCCAAGGCAACTCTCACACCCTTCTCTACCTACTTCTCCCTGCCTTGGCCTCTCTTCCTTCTTGGAGGAAGAACCCAGACACTGGGACTAGATCTGAATTCAGACTTAATTATCATTGCTTGAACAATTACATCTCAGCAAGACCCTCCGTGTTTACTGAACCCCCATTTCACCTCCCTGTAGTAAGAATCGATGGTGCTGGGTCACTCAGTATACACACCAAGCCAGGTCTCTCCCACAAATCAGGAGCACTGAAAAGGTGACAAGAAATGTTTTCTGGAAAAATGATCCAATATTGCCAAAAATGCATCACAACTGCTTTCAAGGAAAGAATCAGAATGCTGCTGCCTGCCCCCAACCCCCGCCCCGCCCCTGCACTGCAGGCTTTGAACTGGTTTTGCTTTGTCTGCTGTCGGGGACCCTCATCTCTTAGGGACTAACAGCAGATACAGGCCTTCCTGTGGCCTGGATGCTGCTCTTTACCTATCACAGATGCAGTAAGCAAGGCCTGTCACACCAGTTCAAAGTGACAGAGAGGCCTCCATGTCTAGGCAGCCCTGGTCCCAGGATACCACTACAGTCACCAGAGCACTGCCTGATGACTCATGGAGTAGGAGATGCAGTGACCAGGGCCATTAGGCCCACAGGTTCAGGAGCGGCCAGACCAGTGTCTTCCGGAGTGGGCAGCCCTCTGGGAAGAGGGAGGTTCTGGTACAGGCCCTAGGCACCCAGCTCTGCTACACTGTATTGCAAGGTAGCCTCTACCACCTCCCATAGGGACTGTGGCTGGGAGTCCTGACTGCGCAGAGATGGGAACAAACTTTTTGTGGGATCCTAGAAAGGGGCACATTTCCACTGTGAGCAATCTGTTTCTAAATCCCCTCATGGGGAGAAAGGGAACCTCCTGTCACCACTGCCAGCCTGGCTCTCTCTCTCCATCTTCCCCACAGAGCACCAAGGTCCTCTGCAGAGCTCTGTCACCTTCTCACCAGCACTTCCTCCACCTACAGGATAGTGAGATGATATAAAATGCCACAACTTTAACTGCCACATTTCCCTGTGTCCTCTATGAGTAAAAACATGTCCATGCCCTTGTAGCCATGTTCCTCAAAGTGGAGACACATTTTTTACAGGGCCCGTCCTTTCTCTCCGACTAAGGCAACTGAGTAGGATGAAGTGCTGGTGTTTGTGGATATAGAACAAAGTACCTGGGCCCAAGGGTCTCAAGGCCATGCCCTGTAGTCCATCAACACCATGAGCTCAATGGCACTACACACCCCAGTTCCCCCAGGAGCTTAGAAAACACACACCGAACTGGCAGGTTCAACGGGGACAAGATTACAGTGTAAAGAGTTGACATGGAGCTGCAAGCTGACTAATGGCTTCAATTACTGCCAGCATGCCAATGTGCCAATGTGATCCGCTGGGGCAAGCTGGCCTTCAGGACGCATTCTGTTAGCTCCTTCTCAAAACAATCTTATTCCCTTTAGTATTACTTTACGTCACACAGTCAATGTTCTGCTCTTCTGGTGATTTTCATACCATGGCTGGATGCTTTTAAATCCTTGTAAGAAGTCAGGCACAGTAACTCCTGCCTGTAATCCCGGCACTTTGGGAGGTTGAGGTGAGAGGATCACTGGAGGCCACTAGTTAGAGACCAGACTGGGTAAAACAATGGCATGCCATCTCTACAAAAAAGTAAAAAATTAGCCGGGCATAGTGCACATGCCTGCAGTTCCAGGTACTCAGGAGCTCACTGGAGCCTAGGAGTCTCAAGGCTGCGGTGAAACATGATGGCACCCCTGCACTCCAGCCTAGGCCACAGAGCAAGACCCTGGCTCTGAATAAATAAATGAAGCCTTGCAAGAGCACCTGGTTCCAGAGACCCATCCTATGGAAAAGCCTTCAAACTCCTTCAAATTCTCAAGGCTGAGAGAGGGATTTCTAAATACCCAGGACTTCCATTAAGGTAAAAACCATTAAGAAAATAAAAAAGTCAAACCCTATCAACAATTTTAAAACTCTAATTAACGATATGCATGCTTAACTATTTGGAAGGGAAAGGCACCGATGTCTGCAACTGACTTTGACACCAAAAACAAGAGGGTCTGTTGGGTGGACAGATATGAGATGAAATACAATCAAATGTTAACTGTACATTCTAGGTGGTGGTCTGTGGATGTTCACTGTAAAATTCCTTCGACTTTTTTGTATGTTTCACGTTTTTCATAACTGAATGTGTGGAGGGGGAGTCTTCTGAGTCTGGCAAATGACCGGGCATAACCTTTCCGGTTAAGGGCAGAGGGCAGAGCTGGTACGCCTCCCTCCACCCAGTTCTACATAGGTTGGCCCCCAAGGGAAGCAGCAAAGAATCCAGGAGACAGGTCAATTGCCCAGGCACCACCCTGCCCAGCATCAGCCCCCAGAAGAAACTGGCAGAAATGCTATGCAATGTCCCTGCCCCGGGTCCGCCATCATCCTCTTTAGGACAGGTTCTCAGCCCCAGCTGCGCCCGGGAATGATCAGGGAAGCCTACTAAATGCAGATTCCTGGGCCGGGCGCCGGAACTACAGAATCGCAACACCTGGGTGGGCCCCAGTAATCTGCGCATTTCGCAAGGGCCCTAGGTGGTTCTGACACAGAGGATCCTGAGCTCACCTTTGGAGGAACTCACAGCCGCTCGCCCCACCTCACCTGACACCTGTTGAGAAGCCCCCCAGGAGAACCTGCTGAGCCGAGGTCCTCGACTGCGCGCCTCCTGGTCCAAGGCCAGGCCAGGCCGCCGCCACCTCCTCCGGGGGTGCGCTGCCGAGCGCCACATCCCGACTCCACACGTCGGCGAGCCGGGCGCGGGTGCAGGGCGCCGCTGGGCTCCGGGACCGCCAAGGTCACCCGCAGGACTCCGCAGGGGGGGCTCGGCCGCGGGGCGCCTCCCCGACCCACCTTTCTTAGAAAACAGCTCCCGCCCTTCCCCTCCCCGTCTCGCGCTACAAAACGGAGATGGCAATTTCCACCACCTTCTCCGACAGAAGAGAGTGCGGGCGAGTCGGGGGCCATTTCGGGCGCACAACTCCGCGGCACACAGCCGGGCGCCCAGGCGGGCCCTGCCACCGCAGCCGCTTCGACATCCCCAGGGCCGCTATAGGTCTCGGCAGCACCCTGAGGGGAGGACTGGCTCCGCGATGCCGCACCCCCGGCCCCATTTTACCTCCAGAAGCCCGGCGCCTGAGGTCGGCGGAAATCGGAGACTGGCCGGGGTCCCGCCAGGCGCCGACGGACTAGACCCTCAGCCCCGCGGGGCTTTGCGCGTACAGCGACCCCCACCGCCAAGAGGCTTCTGGGACTTGTAGTCCGCCCGGTCGCCCCCAGCTTGCTCTGCGGGACAGGGGACTACGATGCCCAGTATGCATCGCGCAGGCGCCGCGGGCGGGGGCGGGGAGTGGGCGCCTTGGTCTGAGGTCACGCCTCGACCTGAGGGGCGCCGGCGCCCAGACTCTTCTTTCAGGGAGGAGGGTTCCCGGGGGAAGCCGCTTCCGAATGCGTCCTGGCGAACTCACCGTCCCCGCAGCCCCCGGACAGCGGCCACAGGAGCAGGAATGGACGCCTAGGCAGCTGGCGGTCGCGCTTCTGTCAGAAGGAGGCGGGTAGACTTTGGACCGGAGCCGAAGCCTGTGACGTCACAGAGGGAGCGTGGTCTCTGGAGGCACGTGATGCTCCTTGGTGACATCAGTGGGAGCGGGGGGCTTTTCGGCCTGGCGCGGGGGCTGAGCACTGGGATTCTCGGGGCCAGTTTCCCCATTGTATACGAGGCAAGAGAACAGGGAAAGAACCCTTCCCGTGAGCGCCTCCTCTTCACTCATGCCAGCCACAGGGCTGGGCATCGTCCTCCAAGGCTGCATTTTTTTTCCTTTATGCCACTAATATTTATTGAGTTTGGGAGGCACTTTACATAAAGCCTTGAAACACACAGTCACTGTCCCTGCGCTTGAAACTGCCTTTACAAAAATTGTAACAGAAAATTATGATGGCGAAAGAGAGCTGACCACTTCATCTTGCTTTTAACCTCCAGGTTGTCCTTGTTCATTCCTAGGCATAGGCGGAACTAACTTTGCAAACAACTTAGTTTATAGTTTAATACTGAAACAAAGATAGTAACAAACCCCCTTTCCCAAAACAAATCCCCTTCTTGTCTGGAAACCAGGTCTCCTTTGTAAGACTAACGTATTAGCTACAAGACAAGAAATTATGGTTTAGGGCCCAGAACAGTGGCTCATGCCTGTAATCCCAGCACTTTGGGAGGCCAAAGCAGGTAGATCACTTGAGGTCAGGAGTTTGAGACCAGCCTGGCCAACATGGTGAAACCCTGTCTTTATTTAAAAATACAAAAATTAGCCAGCTGTGGTGGCACGCACCTGTAATGCCAGCTACTAGGGAGGCTGAGGCACAAGAATTGCTTGAATCAGGGAGTCGTAGAGAGACAGATCAAGACTCCATCTCAAGAAAAAAAAAATATGGTTTAGCAGTTATGCACCCAGAGGCCACAAGATTCTAAACCTCCCCAGCTGATCCTAGGTGTAACATCACCATTGTAAAACCTAAGACTGTAGGCTCAGACCACAATACAAAGTTAGAAAAAACAAAAACAAAAAAACCTAAGACTGATGCACCAGCCACAGCCACCCAGATCTGGCTCAGTCAGTTCTTCCATCCTCTAAACCCTGTGATTTCATCTCCCACCCAACCAGTCAGCACTGCCTACCTCTTGGCAGCTTATCCACCAATTACCCTTTATTTTTATTTTATTTTATTATTATTATTATTTTTTGAAACGGAGTTTTGCTGTTGTTACCCAGACTGGAGTGCAATGGCACAATCTTGGCTCACCGCAACCTCCGCCTTCTGGGTTCAAGCAATTCTCCCGCCTCAGCCTCCCAAAGTGCTGGGATTACAGGCATGAGCCACCGTGCCCAGCCCCAATTACCCTTTAAAAACTCCAGGCTCTGAGGGCCTGGAGTGCTGGCTCATGCCTGTAATCCCAGCACTTTGGGAGGCCAAGGCAGGTGAATCATGAGGTCAGGAGATCGAGACCATCCTAGTCATGCTGAAACCCTATCTCTACTAAAATACAAAAAATTAGCCAGGCATGGTGGTGCACATCTGTAGTCTCAGCTACTCAGGAGGCTGAGACAAAGGAATCAATTGAACCTGGGAGACAGAGGTTGCAGCAAGCTGAGATTGTGCCACTGCACTCCAGCCTGAGTGACAGAATGAGACTCTGTCTCAAAAAAAAAAAAAAAAAAAAAAAAACTCCAGGCTCTGATTTTTCAGGGAGACTGATTTGAGTAATAAAACTTTGGCCTCAGCCGGGCGCGGTGGCTCAAGCCTGTAATCCCAGCACTTTGGGAGGCCGAGGCGGGTGGATCACTAGGTCAAGAGTTCGAGACCATCCTGGTCAACATGGTGAAACTCCGTCTCTACCAAAAATACAAAAAATTAGCTGGCCGTAGTGGCACGTGCCTGTAATGTCAGCTACTCAGGAGGCTGAGGCAGGAGAATTGCCTGAACCCAGGAGGCAGAGGTTGCGGTGAGCCGAGATCACGCCATCGCACTCCAGCCTGGGTAACGAGCAAAACTCCATCTCAAAAAAAAAACTTTGGCTTCCCATTCAGCCAGCTCTGTGTGGATTAAACTCCTTCTCAATTGCAGTTCCACTGTCTTGATACATTGGCTCTATCTGGGCACCAGGCAAGAAAAACCCACTTGATGGCTACATGCTCAGGTGCTTCCATTCTTACAGACAGTATACAAGGAAACCACAAAATGGCCAGGACTGTGAAGGAGAGGAAGGGATGCCCTAACAGAGTTATGGGGTGGTGCCTCTAGACAGGGAGGTTAGAAAAGGCCCCTCAAAGGAGATGATGCTGAGGCAGGGTCATGAAATGGTGGCTCATGACTGTAATTCCAGCCCTAGGGAGGTCCAAGTGGGTAGATCATGAGATTAGGTGTTCAAGACCAGTCTGGCCAACATAGTGAAACCCCATCTCTACTAAAGATACAAAAAAAAAAAAAAAATTAGCTGGGTGTGGTAGCACACACTTGCAATCCCAACTACTCCGGAGGCTGAGGCAGGACAATTACTTGAACCCAGGAGGCAGGTATTGCACTCCAGGCTGGGCGATGGGGTGAGACTCCGTCTCATTAAAAAAAAAAAAACAAAAAGACATTCTATTCTGGAAGCCTCTGGGTGAGAGACTCAACAAAGTGAGGATGTCAGTGGGGTAGGCTAGATCCAAATCATGTTGAGATTTGTAGGTTATTTTAAGAACTCTGGCCTGGCATGGTGGCTCACCCACTGGTGTAATCCCAGCACTTTGGGAGACCGAGGCAGGCGGCTTACTTGAGGTCAGGAGTTAGAGACTAGCCTGGTTAACTTGGTGAAACCCACACCCCCCCACCACCGTCTCTAGTAAAAATACAAAAATTAGCTGGATGTGTGCACATGTAGTCCCAGCTACTTAGGAAGCTGAGGCAGGAGAATTGCTTGAACCTGGGAGGCAGAGGTTGCAGCAAGCTAAGAACACAACCGCTGCTCCCCAGCCTGGGCGACAAAGCAAGACTCCATCTCAAACAAGAAAAAAGAAACAAAAAAACCCCTGGATTCTTTTTTATTTTTATTTTTTTGAGCTAGGATCTTGATCTGGCACCCCGGCTGGAGTACAGTGACATGATCATAGCTCACTGTGCCTGCGAACTCCTGGGCTCAAGCAGTCTTCCCACCTCAGCCTCCCAAGTAGCTGGGATTACAGGCATAAGCCGCCATGACTGGCTGGAGTTTGGATTTTATTTCAAGTGGAATTTAAAGCCCTTGAAGAGTTTTAAGCAGTAACATGGCACTCAGTCTTCATTATTTATGGATTTTGTGTTTGCAAATTTCCCTATTCACTAACATTTATTTCTAACCCCAAAATCAATATTTGTGGTGCTTTCTCATTCATTCGTGGACATAAGGATCCTGCACATTCTCCACTGAGGTCAAATAAGGCAACGCTGACCTGGTATGATGGCACTCGCCTGTAGTCCCAGCCACTCAGGAGGCTGAGGTAGGAGGAGCACTTCAGCCCGGCAGTTTGACGCTTCCGTGAGCTGGGATTGCAGCACTGCACTCCAGCCTGGGGGGCAACAGAGCGAGACTCTGTCTCTAAAAGGAATAGGATAGCACTGCCTCCAAGTCTCCTTTTTGGTCTATTTAGTGTCATCTTTTTCTCATTTTTATGCTTTTTGTTGGGGATTCTGTTTCAAATGGCCCTTAGTGTAGTTCGGAAGTGCTGTCTAGCATTCCTAAGGGCAAGAATGTGGTGATATGCCTTAAGGAGAAAACAGCTGTGCTCAGTTCACTTGGTGCAGGCAATTGAGTGAGACTACCCTGAATCAACAGTATATGTTAACTAAGTTGCCTTTAAACAGAAACACCCAGAAAACACAGTTATGTATTGATTGGTTGACAAAAATGTTGTGTCCACAGGCTCACAGGAACTTAGCCGGTAGTTCCCCCAGAAGCAGTGGTTCAGTATTTGCTAATTCAGCATTTGTGGCAACTTACTAGAACCAACAATCTACCTCAGAGACTGAGACTGAACTTCATATGATTTGATTGACATTTCACAGGATCATCTGACTACGGTGTGGAGAATAGTTTAGACCAAGAGAGGCAATGAGACGGCTGGGAGACCAGCACATATGTAATTCTGAAGTTTCCAGGCTGGGCACTGTGGCTCACACCTGTAATCCCAACACTTTGGGAGGCTGAGGCCAAGAGTTTGAGACCAGCCTGAGCAACATAGTGAGTCTCCCATCTCTACAAAAAAAACTATAAAATTAAAAAATTAGCCAGGTATGGTGGCTCACACCCATAGTCCCACCTACTTGGGAGGCTGAGGCAGGAGAATCACTTAAGCTCAGGAGTTTGAGACTACAGTGAGCTAGAATTGTGCCACTGCACTCCAGCTTGAGCAACAAAGTGAGATGCTGTCTCTAAAAAAATTAAAATTAACATTAAAAAGTTTCAAGTAACCACATTAAAAGTGTAAAAAGAGACCGGTGAAATTAATTTTAGTAATAAATTTAACTCAGTATATC